TGCCAGATGCCCAGAGAGCCCTCAGGACAGGAGCCCGGAATGGGAGGGCAGGTGACCTGATCCCTGCAGGATGGAGCTTAGACTCCAGAGGACCTCCCTATGCTCTAGGAGGGGAGGCCCAGGGAGGTTAATCTTGAGGGAGACATCAGGGATGGGGACGTGGGTGGGGAGGAGCTGGGGCAGCCAGAGCTCCTAAGAGCCACCAGCATCCTTGGAATGTTCTGAAGACAGGTGGAGGGCAGTGGGGAGGTTGGGGGTGGGCACTGCCAGGAGAACCAGCTGGGCCTGCTGCCAAGAGCTTCTCTGTATGTAGCTGGCTTGTTCCCAGCTCATATGTAGCTGGTGTGTTACCAGCCTATAGGTGGTTGGTGTGTCCAGGCCCATATGTAACTGGCATGTTCCTGGCTCACATGTGGCCGGTGTGTCCCCAGCCCATATATATTGGTTGTGTTCCCAGCCCATATGTGGCTGGCGTGTCCCTGGCCTGTATGTAGTAGTTGTGTACCCAGCCTATATGCAGTTGGTATGTCACCAGTTCATAAGTAGCTAGCGTGCCCCAGCTCGAATATGGCCAGCCTGTATGAGGTTGGCACACCTCTGGCCCGTATGTGGCTGTTGTGTTCCTGGCCTGTATGTGACTGATATTTCCCCAGCCTATTTGTGGCTGGTGTATTCCTGGCACATATGTGTTTGGCATGTCCCTAGTCAGTTCATGGCTGGTGTGTCTCTGGCCCATACGTAGCTGGCATGTCCCTGGCCTGTATGTGGTTGGTGTGACCCTGACCCATACATGACTGGTGTGTCCCTGGTCCATATATGGCTGGTGTATGACTGGCCTGTATGTGGCTGGTGTGTTCCTAGCCTGTATGTGGCTAGCGTGTCCCTGGCCGGTATGTGGCTGGCATGTCCCCAGCCTATGTGTCCCTGGCCTGCATATAGGTGGTACCCAGCAGCTTTGCGACCAAGCTCCCAGCCCTGTCTAGACATCGTGTTTAACATGCAGCAAGTGGACCTTGCAGACTGGACAGGGTGTCTCGGAGGCTGCACCCTGAGAGAGGCAGGAGAGCTAGTCAGACAGCCTAGGCTGCGGTGTCAACAGGCCGCCTGGCCCACCCCTTGTAGCTGCAGACCCATTCCCTTCAACACCCCAGGCCCCGTCGGGGATACCTCCCAGTGGGTCCCCAGGGCCCTGCCTGGAGAAGATGCTGAAGAAGCACTGAGCGTTTGGTGGACCTGAACCATCAGCTCGCCGTGGCTCTGAGTCTCAGTCTCCCGCATGCAACACAGGGCTATGGCAAAGGGCTAAGGTACAGGTTGGGAGCCGGGGACCCCCTGCATGACCCAGACAAGTCACTGGCCCGGGGCCTCAGAGCCTGCTGGTGCCAACACTCAGATCCTTGGCCCAAAGCTGGGGAGGGGTGGACATGGGCAGGATGGGTTGAGCCGGCTTCTGGGGCAGCTGGCCTGGCAGCCAGAGCAGGAGCTTAGTCCCTCTCTGATCCTTGGCAGGGATCAGTGGTCGGGCCAGCCCCCTACCTCCCTGTGGCCCCAGCTGTGTCCTCCCCCTTACTCCTCCAGCTGCACTCCCCCTGAGTTTCCTGACCCCCTCCGTGCTCCCCGTGCCCCCTTGATGCTCCCTGCTTTCCCCGACAGTGCTCCCTGACCCCCTTTGGTGCTTCCTGTCCCCCCTGGGTCTCCCTGACTCCCCTAGGTGCTCCCTGTCCCCTCTCAGGGTTTCCTGCTCCCCCAGGGCTCCATACCCCCCCTTGGGACTCCCTGTCCTTCCCTACCCCCCCACCTGCTCCCTGACCTCTCCCACCTCATCGTCAGGCTGGCCACGTCCTCCCTCCTCACAGCTGCCCTTCCTGTCCCCCACACACCTACCTGGTGGCCTCCCTGCAAGGTTCAGCTGTCTGCCCTATGGCCTAGGTTCTCTTTCGGGCCCAGCATCCCCTCCTACCCTCCCCTCCTGCCCACTCCCCACCCTGACTGCCAGTCCAGACTCCAGCCACACCAGATGCCTCTCCTTGGTCCAAGCACACCCAAAGCACTCTTGCCACACCTCAGCTTCTGCCAGTCTCCTCCCGGGACTCCCTCCTAACCCACTTCTGCCTGACCATCCCCAGGGGGCCAGCTCCCCTATCCCCTTGCACCTTGGACACACACATCCACTCCTCTCTCTGTGTCCACAGCCTGTGTTTGGCCTTTGGTGGATGCGGTGACTCCATCCTGCATTGCATTTCAGGGAGAGGGTGGGCCCTGCTCCTCACTGGGGCCACGTCCCCCAGGACAGATCAGCTGCGTCGAGGAGTGTCGGGCACGGCCTTTCGCCAGCATCAAGTTGCCCTAGGGGGTCATGACTCTGTTCTCAGAGAGGTCAAGAAACACTCATGGGGCCACCCAGCTGGTGGAGGAGGAGCTGGGATCCCAGCCCCAGGTTAACGGATGTCATGGCTGAGCTGTGCTTAGAGCCAGTGCTGGTGGGGGCCGGGCACACTTGGCCTTTCGATCTTCCTGTGCAACACTGAGCAGAAGTGCTTGGGTCATGCAGCCAGGGCGCAGCCTCACTCTTTTTGGGGACATACACCATGTCTTGTTTACATGCTGGGGCCCAGCACAAAGCACCCATCAGGTGACACAGAGGCTGAACTGGAGCCTGGCAGGTCTGTCTCACCCTGATCCAGGCAAGAGAAATTCTGGCATGAGTGGGGCCAGGTGGCTGGCAATCCCAAGATCCCTGGCCTGGTCTGTCCCCCCTACCACCCAATAGCAAGATGGCCCTCTCTTTCTCCTACCCAGCTGGAATCCCTGGAGAGACAGAAGGCTCTAGGAGGGGCTGGAGTGTCCAGCACCCATGACAGGAGGGCCCAGGCTCCTCATCCAGCAGTGCCGGGTAACACCTGGCTCCTCATGTCCCAGTATGGGACTTGTCCCCAACCCCCAGTGGCAGGGCCTGTCTCACAAATTGGCCATGATGGCTAAGTGTAGTTAAAGTGCCCAGCGCAGGGAGGGGCTTGGGGCTGGGGAAGAGGCATCCCAGAGTTCCAGGGAGTCTGCTCCTTGGTGGCTGGTGATAGGCGCTCAGCGAGTGGGGAGTGGACCAGCTGTGGCCACTGCACCCCTCCCTGGGCTCTGTGTCCAGCACATTTTGTCTGTCCTCTCTCCTGGCGAGCCCAGGCCTCTCACACTGACCACTGGGCTCTCCAGGCCCTATCACCTCCTACCCCTGGAAGCAACTGGGGAACTCCTTGTCTCTTGGGCTTCCCTGCCCCTCTTGGGCTCCAGCCCCTGTGCCCTTCCATCAGCAGCTCTGGTCTGCCTGTATTCTGAGCCTCGAACACTGTCCCCACTTTGGTTCTGGGGCAGCTGAAGAAAGTGACCAAACCACATGCCTGCCTGTGTGGCTGCAGCTCTTGGGGTTCTCTCCTTAAGCACGGGGCCGGCTAGGCCACTCCACTCCCCCAGCCCCCACACCTCCCTCCCAAGAACTCAGTGCTCACTCTATGAATGGATGGAGCCCACCTACTGCAAATCTCTTTCTTTGAATAATTGATTAGTTGGACTATATAATCCACTCATTCATCCACTGGCTTATCTTTCTATCCATCTGTTTATACAACCACCCATCATCCAGTCATCTTTTTATTTAGTCATCCTTCCTTTATTCATTCATCCATCCACCATCCATTCATTTACCAGTCAGTGTCATCATCCCTCCACGTATCCATCATCTGTCCATCCGTCATCCACCCATGCATCCACCCATCCATCCATATATTGATCCGTCCATCCATGCATCCATCATCCATCTATCATTCATCCATCCATCTATCCATCCACCCATGCATCCATCCATCCATGTATCTATCCATCCATCCATCCATCATCTATCTATCCATCCATCCAATACAATACAATCATCCATTCATCATCCATTCATTCATTCATCTATCAGTGTCATCATTCATCTAAATATCCATCACCCATCCACCCATGCATCCAACCACCCATCCATCCATGTATTGATCCATCCATCCATCCATGATCTCCCCATCCATCATCCATTCATCCATCCATCCACTCATCCATCCATCCAATGCATTCCAATCATCCATTCATCACTCACTCATGTATCCATCATCCATCCATCCATCCATCCATCCAATCCAATCCAACCATCCATCCATCATCTATCCATTCAGTCATCTATCAATGTTGTCATCCATCCACGTATCTATCATCCATCTATCCATCCATCCATGCATCCAACAGTAAGGAACCCTCCAGCAGCCTGGTGGCCACTGCCAGCCCCTGAGCCTCCCTCTACCCGTGAAGGCCAGCAGAGCCTGAGAAAGGGTGGCCAGCAAGCAATTCCACCTTCCATCCTTCTGGGCTCCTCATCCCTCCCTGAATCATCTCTCCTCCATCTCTATTTCCTCCTCTCTCTTCTCTCCCTCTTCTCTGTCTCCTCCCTGCACTCTCCTCATTTCCCTTCTCTTATCTCTTCTCTCTTTCCATTGAATGCTGAGACACATGGAGCTACATTTGGGGTCACCAAAGTGGATCCTTGGACAAGTCACAACAATTCTCTCAGTCAAGTATCCTTCCCAAGAAATTCTGATCACAGAGGATGACCCAGACAGAATGTCTGTCGTGCCAGCTGCAGGGAACAGGGCTCTTCTCCCATGTGACAATTTCCTTCCTTCCTCCCCCTTGTCCACAGCCTTCCTCTTGCCCTTCTCCCAGCTCACAGGTGAGCTGAACCCCACACTCGATTACTCTGTTCTCGTTCTCACCTACAGAACCAGTTCCTCCAAGCTCAGCCACACTGTCCAACACCCATGGCCTTGCTCCCTGGTTCCCTCCTAGTCCCTCCCCCCATCTTGGGGTACACTGGAAGGGGGACCAAAGAGAGGAAGGAAGAGGGGAAGAGGGGAGGCCTCCGGGGAGAGGTAGGAGGAGCCTGAGCCGATCCTCCTCGGAGAGCACCCCTCGCTCACCGACGTGTCCTCTGAGCATGAGGCAATGATGTTGTCGATGAAGGGGTTCCATTTGATGTCCAGCACGTTGCCCTGGTGGCCGCAGACCTTGGGGTAGTTGGGCTCGATTCTGCCTGTCTGCAGAGGAGAGAGAGAGAAGGGGTGAGGCAGGTGACCTGGGCAACCCCAAAGGAAAGGCTTTTTCTGGGATCTCCACTGGATCAACAGTCCTTCAGGGCCCACCCACATCTTCTCATCTTTGAGTCCCCACTGGGCCACACTGCCCTGTAGCTGCACCCTCCTGATGCTCCAAATGGCAGTGGGCAGGGCCACTGCTGGGCCAGAGATGCCCCGGGCTCCTTCCTGGAGTGAAGACGGCTGGCGTTAAGATATCACTCCCACTGGGCCAACTGGTACTTGGTGGGCACAGTCCCAGGGGTACACGCATGCCATGTTCCTGCTCGCCATGCACACCCAGACATGGGGTGCACCCACTGTCCCCGGGATCAGGGAGGTGGCGCAGTCCGGTTCTGTCAGGAGGAAGCTCTTCCTCGTTGTCCTAGGAGTCAGCAGAGCAGCTGAGTCTCTGGGTCCACCTACACTCTTCTATGGGTTACCCTACCATGTGAACAAGCACCCTTGTGCAGTGTGCACCTTGAACGCCTGTACCCGGTGTCCTGCGGCTGAAAGCATGGCCTGTGAAGTCACACAGGCCTGTGTCTGAATCACGGTTCTGCCGCTGTTGAGCCATGTGGTCTCAGGTACCTCAGTGAACTCCTGGCCTCCATTTCCTCATTTCTACAATGAGACCAGCCAAACCTACTGACCACTGCTGGAAAGACTCAATGAGCAAAAATACTTAGCAAAGTGTTTAGTGTAGCAACGACCATCATGGGACATGCTCAGTAGATGACAGCAGTTACACTGCACAGGTGAGACAACACCTCCTCCAGGAAGTCTTCCCAGACCCTCCATTTGCCCTACTCCTGCAGCACTCGGTGCTTCCCTCCATTGGGACAGTCACATCTGATCTGTGGCCTGTTTCCATGTGTCTGTGAGCAGCTGGGGACAGGGTGTATCATCCTTGTTCCTGGACCTCCAGCCCAAGAGACCTAGCACACAGCAGGTGCCCAGCCCACGGCATCCTGGAGGAGAATGGAGTCCACAAAAGGTGGGACAAGGAAGTATGTGATATGGGGGGGGGGGGTTGTCCATGCTTGGTGGCTGCAAAGGTGGCTGGAAGCAGGGCAGCAGGCAGGTGGCTTGATCTCTCATGATCGAGCCATGGCAGCATGGGGAGAGAAAACAGACCTGGGGCAATGGCAGTGGCTTGGAGGCTGAGGTGGGAGACAGAAGAAGAGAGGAGAGAAAAGGCCTCAGAGGCTGGACCCGGGAGGACGCCACTGATATTACACTACGTGGAAGAACAAGAGGACAGAGGGGCGAGAGAGGCTTTGGGGTAAGCAACAATCAGGTAGACAGGTTCCCTTCCCACCTTCTACCAGATGCAGCGGGGTTTGGGGTATCTCGTTGGGGCTGGCAGTCTACAATTTTTTTCTTTTTTTAAGGACAGGGCCTTGTTCTGTTGCCCAGGCTAGAGTGCAGTAGTGCAATCATAGCTCACCACAGCTCCCAACTCCTGGTCTTAAGAAATTCTCCTACCTCAGCCTCCCAAGTAGCAGGGATGACAGGTGTGCCACCATACCTAGCTAATTTTTTGTAGAGACTTGGTCTTGCTATGTTGCCCAAGCAGGTCTTGAACTCCTGGCCTCAAGTGATCCTCCCACCTTGGCTTCCCAAAGTGCCAGAGTTATAGGCATAAGCCACAGCATGGGGCCTCCCTTTAAATGAGAGTTGTGCTATGATGCCCTGGGAGGACAGAGGCCGGGAAGTTTTCTGTATGTAGTGAAAGGTAACATGGACCTGGAGGAGAACTCAAGCCTCGTTTTCCAGAACAGGAAGTCAATAGGCAACGTCTAAGATTAAAAAATCAGGACACGGTGGTGACAGGCATAATCAAGAAATATGGGCAGAAATATGAGAAGACACTCAGCAAAAAGCAACGGAATGGCTACTTGTAGGGAGTATGAAATGAGGGTTGTAAGGTGGGAAGGGCTGAGGTGGCCCCATCGCAGAGGTGCACTGGCAGACATTTAGCAATGGGATCTCCAGGAGAAAGGCTCTGATTCCAGCATTTGGTGTAAATGTTCCCAACATCACTACTTTATTCATTTGAGTTGGGGTCTCACTCTGTTGCTCAGGCTGGAGTGCAGTGGCACAATCATGGCTCACTGCAGCCTTGACTTCCTGGGCTCAGGTGATCCTCCCACCTCAGTCTCCCAAGTAGCTAGGACTATAGGTGTATGCCACCATGCCTGGCTAATTTTTTTTGTTTGTTTGTTTCTGTAGAAACAGGGTCTTGCTATGTTGCCCAGGCTGGACTCGAACTCCTAGGTTCAAGCAATCCTCCCGCCTTAACTTGCTGCTCTAAGGTTAAAGCAGTAATGTCACCAAATGCAGTCAGGAGAGGCTCGATAGCACATCATTACATAATATCTCCTCTCTACAATTGTAACAGACATAAATCACCTTGAGAACACACACAATAGTGAAATAATTAGGAAGCAATGAATTTTTAATATTTAGTACCCTGGCTTCTACTATAATTTAATTGTAAGTGTATGCAATTTAATTTTTAATCATGGCTGTGTTTAACAACCGACTTGCAAAACTCAGACATTGAACGGCAGGCTCTCACGGGGCGGCGCAGGCTAACTCCTCACAAGCAGTACTGCTTAGACTTTCTGATAGTTGCTCATCGATTACTTTATAGATCTAAAAATTAAAAAACAAACAAACCAAAGACCTGTGCCAGATGTTCTAAAGGAAGCTTACTCGAAATTTAAAAAAATATGAGCAATCCTTCCCCCAAATCCCACAAGTGCTTCCATTGTGCAAGTTCCTGTTTCTACAGAGGAGTGTGTTTCCGTTTCTGTATATATGCAGCTTCTTAGAACACCCCAACTTCTGGGGGGTGTGGCCAGAGACAGAGCCTGGATCTGTCTCTCTCGAAAGCCTGGCTCTTGACTGTGATATGGGATTGCCTTCTCATGCTCAATACTAACACTCATGCCAACACCCATACCGACGCTAATAGCTGTTATTTGTATAATCAAATTTAGTCCTCCTAACAACCTCACTTCATTGCTAAGAAAATAGAGGTTTAGAGAGCTTTGAAAGGATGAGTCAAAATTTGCCAATGGTTTCATAACTGTGGGATGGCTGCTTAACGGCCAGCTCACAGAATTGTTCCAAGTGCAGCATCCTCAGAGGTGCAGGGGTCTATCCTACCATCTGGTCCTTGAATCCTAGAGAGCTTCAGCCTTTGTGGAGCAGGGGCAGAGACCTTACTGTGTAGGTGTGGGGAGGACTCCTGCTTGGGGTTTTACAACTATCAGGCAGGTTTTCCATTGCTGGAAGGGCCCTTTTCCTAGGGACTCACAGAACAGATCCCTCCCCCTTTGTTGGGGAAGACCTTCAATGTCAAATGTCAGCTGGCAGCTGCTGTGTACCCTGCTCTTCTCCAGAAGGATCCCGGTTTGGGATGTATGTCAATATGTCCTAACTGCCAGTAGGATGAGCCATGACACAGACCCCTGCTCCAGGGTGGGTGGGGGCAGGAGGTAGGATAACCTTCTTCGAAGTCCACTTGGCAGAATCTCCCCAACACTTGTAAAAGACTCATGGCCTTTGGCCATAAGTCCAATTTGGGAATTTACCCCAAGGAAATCAATGGAGAAGCCCACTAAGAATTGAGTTCCACACAGTAGAACTTGAGTACCCCTTATCCAAAATGTTTGTGACCAGAAGGGTTTTGGATTTGGGATTTGTCAGGTTTTGGAATGTTTGCACTATATGTACCAGCTGAACTTCCCAGATCTGAAAATCTAAAATTCAAATTACTTGCAATAACCACTTCCTTTGAGCATTATAGACAAGCTCAAAAAGTTTCAGATGCTTGGATTTGGGATGCTTAACCCGTTGATATAAAAATGACCCCTATCTATTAAAAAATATGCCACCTGCAAGGAAATCCAGCAACATATGAATAGCAGCAACTCTGGATCCTTGGATTTCATCAGTGGCTTCCAATTCTTCTATAACAAATATACACAATCGTCATTAAAAAAATTAGAGGCCACTTTTTAAAAAAACACACAGCCCACAGCCCTGATGGAAAACGGTTCCTCTCTGGTTGCAGGCAGACAGATCTCAGAGCAGTGGATGCAGGTGGAGGCCTGCCCAAGCTACATGCCTCAGGTGATGTGGTGGAACGTAACTGTACCTGCTCACACCGGTTTCTCCACTTCCTGCTACCATGTGAATGGTTTGGGATGCTGTGGGTTGAGTGTGTCCCCCAACTCCACATGTTGGAAACCGAATCTCTAACACAACAGCATTGGGAGGTTATTGAATCTTGAGGACTCCTCCCTCCTGGAAAGATGACGTCACTGTCTCAAGAGTGGGCTAGTCATCCCGAGAGTGAGTTTGTTATAACCCAGGTTCCACCCTGTCTCTCGCTCTCTGGCCCTTCCTCCTTCCTTCCACCACAGGATGGCATATTGCAAATGCCCTCGTCAGATGCCAGCATCATGCTCTTGGACTTCCCAGACTCCAGAACTATGAGCCAAATGCATTTCTGCTTATTATAAATTACTTGGTCTGTGGTATTTAGTTATAGCCGCATAAAACAGAATAAGACCCAGGAGAATAAATGTTTGAAATTAAATAAACTACATAATGACTTGAAAGTGCACTTTGGAGTGTGTGTGATGTGCACGGGGGCAACTGTGACCCGGCCTTCCCGGAAAGGCTGGGGGTGCGGTGAGTTAGAGGATGCAGCTCACCCAGCAGGCTGCCCAGGGGCACAGTGGGTGCTCTGGGCCCTGTCCAGGCTTTATCTGAACCCAGCAGACTGATGGGTGACAGAATTTCAAAATGACCTGCATTGCAGCCTCAGCTGCCCAGAGCCCTCACCCCTTCAGAGTTGAGTCTGAACACAGAAGCAAGATGTTTTCTCACCTGGAGAATCAGCTTATCCAGGTGGAAAGGACACACGAGCAGGAGGTCAGGTTTCT